TCTAGGCGAGGACGGACGACTATCCCGCGTGAAGCAGAGGTTCAAGAGGGAGTCCGACGACTTCCTGGGCCAGACGATCATCGAGGTGCGCCCCGTCGAGTGGCGAAAATGGACGCTGTGTACACCTGGGGTGAGAGGAGGGTTCTGGGGGTGGGGCCTGCGGCAGTGGAGGAGGTTCTGGGGGCGGGCCTGTGGGGGCGGGCCTGAGGGGCGAGCATGAGCCGAGAGGTTTTGGGGGCGGGGGCTGCTAGGGGCGGGGCATGAAGAGGGAGAGTTCTGGGGGCGGGGCTGCGGGTGCGGGGGCAGGTAGGAAGAGAAAGAGAGTTATAAAAGGGAGGCGGGGAATGTGGGGGGCATGAGGGGCGAGGCCAATGGATAGAGGGGTTCTGGGGCCGGCTGCAGGGCGGGGCATGAGAGGGGTCTGGGGGCGGGCTGCAGGGGGGCGGCGTGGGTTGGGGCGGGGAGGGCACCTTGGAAGCCGTTCCACGTCCCACGGGGAAGCAGGGCCTGGCAGCTCGTTCCCGGGGAGACGCAGGGCTGGGCGGCGGTTGAGGCGGAGCGAACTAACGCGTGGGGAAGCGAGTCTCACGGGAGACGCAGCCTGGGTTTGGGGGGGACAATCTAAAGAGAGACACCTCGGGCCCTAGGGTCAGATCCCAGAGGGCCGCGTATTGAAGAATAAGGCAAGGCGGCAGCTGGGAGTTCTGAAGGTCGCCGTCTTGTCTCCGTCCTGCAGCAGAGAACGACAATCCGCGTGTGGGCGCATCCGGCTGCACATCGTCCGTGGATCAAAGGCAGGAGAAGGTGGCGACCCCCGCCAGTACACTTGTCTGCACGACGGTGAGGCCCGCGCGCCTCCCGCCCACCCCCGCGCAGCCCCATCCTTCCTCCTCCGGCCGGTCTAGCGGCACAGACGGGCTGTCGTGCACTGGGCGTTGTCTCTCCGGCGCCGGGGCTTCCTGGGCGGGAACAACCCGGCGCTTGGTGCGATCAGTGGGATGCTGAGTGGGCAGGGAGGGAGTTGATGTTGGCTGTCACGGGCAGGCGGGATGCAGACGGACGGAAGACGGCGAGCGCCTGGCGATGGATGGCAGCCGGTGGGTGGATGGCGCGGATGATGGAGTGATGGATGACGGGTGCGTCTTGAACCATTGGATGAGCCGACGGGTAAATTTCGGTGTCGTTGGTCATTAAACGAGGAGGCGGTATGGGGGCCCAACGCTTCCCGCTCGCCCCGCCAGCCACTTCGCCTGCCTCTCCTCCAAGTACATGTGCCCGGGGGTGCCGGCCGTCATGAGCACCCTGCTGGCCAACATCAACGCCTACTACGCGCACACCACCGCCTCCGCCAACGTGTCTGCCTCCGACCGCTTCGCTGCCTCCAACTTCGGGGTCAGTCCTGGGGGCTGGGAAACCCCACGTGGCGTTGACTTGCTGCGCGTGCCTTTGCGCCAGTCGCTTCCCCTCTCCGAGCCTCGGTTTACCCCTCTGTGGAATGGACGCAAATGTCCTGAGGGTGCCGTGCAATGGCGGGCGGGGGGGGGGGCAGGGGTGTACTTAGCGTGTAGTCGGAGGCGCTCGGCTAGTGTGGCCGCCACGACCGCCCGTGAGCGTCTTCCCTGGGGACGGCCGCGTCCGGTGCGTCCGCCCTCACCCGTGCTGCCCCTGCCCGCCCCGCAGAAAGAGCGCTTCGTGAAACTGCTGGACCAGCTGCACAACTCCCTGCGCATCGACCTCTCCATGTACCGGGTAGGAGGCGCGGGCTCCGGGACTGGCTGGGCCCGTGCGGTGCGCGCGCCGGGAGGGGCGGGCGTGCACGCGGCAGGTCCCATGTGCACGCGTGCCGCGCGTTCGTGTGACGTTCGTGCGCGCCACCTGCCCAAAGGCTGGGCGCGTCCGAGCGGAACCCTAGTCACCTCGAGGGGCTCACGTTGCGGTCCCCGGCCCCCGTCCAGAGACCTGCGAGCCTTTGCACCCCTAGAGCTGCCGCCTGCCCCCACCCCTTCCTCCGTGACCTCCTCCCTTCCCGCTGCCCGCAGAACAACTTCCCGGCCAGCAGCCCCGAGCGCCTGCAGGACCTCAAGTCCACCGTGGACCTCCTCACCAGCATCACCTTCTTCCGCATGAAGGTAGCGGTCACGTGACCCCCGCCGGGGCGGGGCGGGCTCCGGGTGCCCAGAGCGAGCAGCCCCTCCGCGCCCCCAGAGCAGCGCCCAGCAAGCCTCTGCCTGCCCGCCGCCCACCTCAACCCCGCAGTGACTCGCAGCCACTGCCTGGGTCCCTGCCCCCAGCCGAGCCGCCCTGCCTGTCCCCCGTCCCCGCCCCAGGTACAAGAGCTCCAGAGCCCGCCCCGAGCCAGCCAGGTGGTGAAGGACTGCGTGAAGGCCTGCCTCAACTCCACCTACGAGTACATCTTCAACAACTGCCACGAGCTCTACAGCCGGGAGTACCAGACGGACCCGGTGAGGACCCGGG